TYMMSGACAAAAAATGAAGCCATTTCACGTTTCAAGGGAAAAAATAGACCATTCACGAATCACGAAAATACCCTTTACCGCCCTCAAAAAGAGTAGTATGATTATAATTATGATACCATGCGGAAATTTAAAGTTTAAGGTCAGAATTACCTGAAAAAGACACCATCTCCCCTTTCATTTACATCCTCAGTGGAGGTAAGGATACAAGTATTCTACTACTTTGTAGCGAAATACAGTCGAACCTGTATTATTGGCTCCGTATTAACGCGGTCACCCTATATCAAGCGATAGTGGAGCACCTTTCTCAAGGGAATAGCGTAGTAAATCCATGCAAAACTCTATATCTTTTTTCTTTTAAGTTCTAGTTCTTTTTTGCTAACTTTTTATCGTTTTTGTCGTTGATTTTATTACCACTGTCTTTTCGTAATCGTTAAATACACAGCCATAGAAAAGCATGCAACTTAACAAGACCGAAAAATGTGGTTTAAAAGTTATATTTCGCTTTTTTATGTACCTGAGAAGAAAGATAGTCGCCAAAACTTATACCAAAGTATGGTATCCCAATCTCTTTAAGGACTTCCGCAGTAAAATTAGCTCCTTCAGCACCAAAATCGTTCAAATGATTGTTAGCGAGTGTTATGGCATTAAATCCTGCAAACCTGCAAGAAAAATAAACTGTCAAGATCATATGCACGTAAGAACAGTTGTAAACTGACTTACTTACAACGTTAGCCAAAACGGTGTGAAAGTTTTCTAGAACGTGAGCACTTTTACCGTGAGTCGTTAAAAACATTGACCGTTAATATATTTTTTTTACTTTTCTAGTGTGCCATTTTGTGTTATTTTAGGTTAATCATAAGAGTGTAAAATGGCCAAAGTTTCAACCGTAAGCCGTAAAAGCCATCACCTCTTTGAGAACCTCTACTGGGTGCCGTAAGACTAAAGCCATAATGACCGCAACTGCCAGTCATTACAAAGGTCGATAGAGCAAAGGGGCCAATGAAATCCCTAAAAGACGAGAAGACTGTCTAAATCGCAAAAAAATTTGTAAACAACTCGCGATTAGTAAGGCACGTGGCAAAAGTTTCCTAGACCAACCATACGATGCAATAAAGTGAAGCCAATTCAATGCAGGATTTAGAATAATTAGAAACTGGTCATTAATTATCTCCTCAGTGGGAGTGGTCGGAGGATTTCGTCCCCTTTTCTCCTGAAAACAACGACAAGAGAGACTAAGGTGCTCTCTTCATGCACACAAGTTAAAAGTTCAACCTTGCTTTAAAGTTTCTCTACATGCGTCGTCAAAAGATTTTCGAAAAATTAATTAATCTCGTATACCTCAGCGCTGATGCAGCATCCTTGTTAGAATTGAGTAAAACCGACTTTTCACCCTTGTACTTGTGAGTATAAACATCTTCGTTGACAAATGGAGATTCCAAATTACACACAGAAATATCAGCCTCTCTGATGTATGGAGCCACTTCGTTGAAAGAATCATTGTATGTGTTATGCTTATGTTCCACGTAATATTTGACCGGTCCAGCGAAATAAATATCTCCCACGAATATCAAGGATACATGATCTGCAAGAAAAAAAGCACGAAAAAAAAGCGTATCCTTGTAAGCTTGGTCCCTTATCGATAATAATAAGACAATGTAAGGGAAACACCAAATTGTTCATAAAGGTCATCCATCTTTACTCCACGTAATGTTTTTTATGCAGTTTGTCAAATTGTTCATAAAGGTCAGCCAATGTTCTTTCCCGCTGAGGCAGAGTGAAGTAAGACTTTCCATAATTGATTCAGTTTACACAGACACCCGCTTCAGTAGACACACCACCAACACGTCGGCCTTCACTCTTCGACGCGTTGGTAAGATCAACCAACCGACGTGTCGGCCAACGCATCGGCCAATGCTTCGGCCGACACACTACCGACACATTAGAGAGATTTAGCACCGCGTTTACGTGAATTGCAAGAGTGACTGGGTGACCTTGTTTTCCCCGCCATCTTTTCACGTTTGCCCGTTGCTCTTTGCCGTTTCTACGTAAAAGTAACCTGTTTCGCGTTTGCCGTGTACATGAAATTTTCTTCATTTTTTTTCTCACAGAGCAGAAGTTAATTGCCGGAAAAAGCGCACCAAAACTATTCCTTGCAAGTTTTTTTGTTGTTTATTATTATTTTTACAGAACATTAGAAGCAAATTTACACAACCCGCATATAGCATTAGCTAGTCTTGGCGGGTATTAGAAATAAATAAGTAAATACAACACATTGCAAGCTAGAGAAGTTTGGTTACCACAATAAACTAAAGAGATTTTACAATAAACTAAAGAGATTTCATTACTACAATATTATTGGGGTTATAAGCCATGCATTAGTTTACGATATTATAAGCTAAAAGATACGTACAGTTGTCATACAAATTAAATACAATAAAATTCCTAGTGAGTTAAAGCAAGACATAACAATCAAATACAGGCAGAGCAGACTGGAAAGTAGAGAGGAGAGAATTGTGATATACGGATGTGAGCGAAGTACTACAGTTATAATTTTCGATAATCATTGATATTGAATTTCAATATCAGTGAATGGGCGTCAACATTATAGTCCTCAATCCCAAGTATAGTCAAAAGCAACTTTTGAGTTTTCCTTTTAAATGCTCTTCTCGTGAGCTTACGCAAGTCAGGGTTTAGACAGTTCCATAACCTCGTACCAAACGCACAGAAAGACTTAAATTTCACATGTAAGTAAGTAATACAAAGGTGCATTCAAATCCATCATGAGTTGAGCTGACGCCAAGCTAAAGCAGTAAGGTTCACGCTACTTTACGTAAAACGCGGAAGGGCAAGCTGATATTTGCCGTTTCACGCAATGCGGTGCTAAATCTCTCTAGTACTAACGCGTCGGCCGACACACAATTGACGCGTTAGAAGCAAGATTAGCCCTATAAGACAGTCCGCTGACAGTCAGTTGACACATTGGCCAACGCGTTACCCGACGCGTTGGTGAGATCAGAGTTTTACCTTTACCAATAAGGTTAAGACAGACCGTAACAGATGTTTTCATTCAAATTATAATTCAAGATTTAGGATTATGCTTAGAGTATAGTCACAGAACGAGTTTGACTGATATCCAATGATGATCGATTTGGGTTTAGGTAAGCGCTAAGTTTGTCTTCGCAAGAGTCCTAACACAAAGTGCATTTTCTATTTCATTCCTTTTGCATTTTTTCAGGCAAACAGTGCCTGGAAAGAGCGAAGCTACGGTGGGAGGAGTCATATAATTTGTTGAAAAATAATCTACAGTAGGGCTTTAATTTTCTAAAGATTTTGGTGATTCAGTAGAAGGTTCAGATACGATTTTAGGTCGATTCTTTGTTCACTTTATCGAAATAGATATTATCAAAGCTATGTTTATTCAAGGCTAAATGAATCATGGGCGAGTTGACATTTTTCTAAAAGACTTCCATTGTGCGCTGAATAGATCTAGATTAGGTAATATCTGAATTACTGGAGATTTCCATTTACTTATTTCATTTGTGTGTAACCAGAATACTTTACTGTCGTTTTCTGTTATTATAATTTAGTTTCTAAACTTGTATCATGAACATGTCTTACCTTTATTTGCGACTACTACACTTAGCCAGAAAAACGCCAAAAAGATGATTACAAAACTCATGACACGATTACTTAAAAAACCAAGCTGGAGATGTCAGTAAAATGTTTTTCACTAGTATAACGGTCGCTATCCATTTTTACTCCACGTCATGTCGTTTTTTTTGCAGTTTTTCATTATCCATAAAGGTCAACCAATGCCCCTTCCCCTTGAGGCTAGGAAGAGTGAAGTAAGGTTTTCAATAATTGATTCTGTGTACACAGACACCTGATTTTCCCCCACGGTTGGTGGAGCTAAATTATCTTTGCTGCGGCAAATTTGCATTAAGTAATTTTGTTTTTACATATCTATAAATCTTCTAAATTACGCTCAAACTTTCCGTTTTTTCACGTATCGTTTATATATACATCATTATTTTCGTGCAATATGTTAACTACGCCCTATTTAGAATTCATGTTTCACGCCCCTTTTAGCAGGGTGTTCTATTTATACGTCATTCTATGGGTAAACCTTATCCCTGCGAGTGCTTTCTGTTTCTTATATTTCCTCAGCATTTGGTATGAGTTTTGTAACGTCATATCTATGTGTTTATTTTGCCCGTCTTATTCGTTTTGGTGTATTTTTTAGCGGGAATTTACCTCTTCTTGACAGACACATTAAAGAGTAGTAGATCAAATGCTGACTTAAAGTATGTTTAATTCAAGTGGGCCCTTGCTTCTTCAAACTCCACTCAATTTAACGGATACCAAGATTAACACGTTTAACGCAAGATAAACTGGTTTTATCAACTAAGTTTACAATGTAAATTAACCACCATAATAAGTTTGTAAAGATGGCGTTTCGAGCGTAGCTCTTCGTCCGAGCGAATATAATTGAATGAGTCTGGTGCACGCGTACGATGCAAACGCAAACGCAAGTATAAATATGAACGCAACGACATTCACAACGAACGCAAGCGCAGTGAAGGTAAGATGCCCGAACACAATGGAAGTATGATGATTTTTGCAAGGTGGTGGGCGATACAGCAGCTTTTGCCAAAATAAATCTACGTTGCTTGCTTTTTCATCTTCTTCCATATATACATACTACTAAATTAAGGGACGAAAAATTCGTATCCAGAAGTCGAAGAGTACACTAGGAGTGCGTGGTTAGGCCAATCTTTCAACGAGGCAGCGTCAAGGAAATTTTTTCAGCTTGGTTCGTGAGTCAACTTGATGATTGTGAGTTTTACTTCATTTAATTAAACAGCATAATATTTCGAACGAATTTGGCCCAGCTAGCATCTTTCGGTTCATATAGATGGCTACGCTCCATGCCAATTTTTCTTCTGAAATGGGAAACGCTTTCGCGGCCGTTGTTGCATGAAACGCATGCCTTTTTTTACCTTGCATTTGCGACTGCGCTGCCCCGGTACCAAACGCAAAAACAAATCCCAGTGCAAGCGAATAAAAATGTTTCCATTTCTAGAGTTTCCATTTGATTTTAGGATAGGTGAAAATTTTTTGACACGAGTGGCCGATTTCAGTATTCTGGAGTTTGGACACCAGTGGTCGATTTTGGAGTTTGGACGCTAGTGGCTGATTTTGGATTTTGTACACTAGTAGCCGATTTTGGATTTTGGACACTAGTGGCAAGTTTTGGATTTAAGATGCTAGTAGCCGATTTTGGGCACTAGGATAGAATTTCTGCCGTATTTGTGTAGTTCGACAAATTGACGTAATGATATTCACCGTGTCACCTTAAAGGATTAGTCTAAATGAATATTTTCGCCGGAATGGAGTTCGATTGCACGCTGAAGCTTAAGTCTTGATTTCCCGACGAAAATATCGACCATTTCTTGTCGTTTTCGCTGATGTAAGTGTTACACAATCGAGGATGACTAGTGACAGTGTCTCTCTACACATTGGCGTAAATGTCCGTGTTTTTAGCCTCTATAACCTGTCTCCAACAAGAAACAAGGAAATTGTGAGAACCGAAGTAAACAAACGTTAACAACCCGCGAACGGATAGCCAGACCTTCACGTTGCTTCTCAATGAAGTGTTTTTCCCTTAGGATTACTTTAAACTGGAAAAAATTTTCAAAATCCGCGCTATGGAATTAAAAAAATGTGTTGTGAAAAGTATAGGTGGGCCCAGTTTTCAAACTCACGCCTTTTTCCCTCCAATGGAATTGGAAGGAAACTCATGTCAACAGCTGTCGTTTAAACTACCACACCCAATTCCATCTCGAACTGGCCAGCTTTGTTTCTACGAGTCCCACCCAGTGTAAGCTGCAAATTATTCAAACTCGCGGATAACTTTTCTTACGACTTCGATGTAAAAGGAAGCTAAAAGGGAATGGATCAGAGCAGAGTACAAACGGAATAGAAGAGGTTGGTTTGCTGTCAGTTAAGGACAACCCTTTGCTAGCTTTTTATTAAGGTATGGGAGGATTAATAAGCCTCATCCGAGACATAAAAACAGTCTACAAGGACCTCAAGGTAACTTTAAAACTTACCGCTAGAATTGTACTGAAAGTTCATAGCATTGTGGAAGATGTGGAACAGACAGTGCAAGAACTAAAAGCAACCGTGAAGAAATTGACGTCTAATGTCCAGCCTCAAGATGGAATGAGCGAAATGCCGCTGGAAGCATTGGTGGAAAACGTTGAATCGAAGGCAATTTCTCTAAAAACCGCCCTAGTTAATGCTACCAGTCAAGTGTTTAATGATGAACTCCTTAGAAACACTCAAGAGAAATGGGATATGGCAATGCAGTATTCAAGGCAAAGCAGCGAAGCTTTGGCAAACATTGTAGCGAGTTCTTCATTAAATGTTAAAGGAAGGGGACGCAGCGCCGACGACGAGGTAAACAGTTTAGAACAATCTATTTCGCTATCTGAGCTCGCGGGAAATGACGTACAAAGTGAGCAGGAGGGTACTAACGATATTGATCGAGCGTTAGTTCCCGTTTTCAAAGAAGAATTACACTACAACTATGACGAGGAGGAGATTCGGGATTTCGAGATTCTACCACTTGATGTGATGGATAACTTTTGGAAATGTGACATTGGATGCGTCAACATCGACTGCGTTGACTTTCACCAGCTCGCCACTTGCCGTCAGGCTTCCACCTCACTCTCAAGGAAAAAGAGAGCTAAAAAATGCAGCAAGAATCGTGCAAATTATGGTAAAAGTTCTGCGTCAAGGTCTGGTTCATCAGGAAAAACATCATCGAAAGAGAGCACCCAGACACCAGCATGGTACAACCCGCGCAAGTATCCCAAGCAACGCTGAGAAACAGTTGCATTAGAGCTAATTTTTTTAGTCGCGGTGTTAGTAGAAGGCTTAGCAATGTCAAATAGCAATATCCCAGTTGGTGAAAATATGTGGAGCGACCGTAATCGAAGTAACTGGACTCGCGCAGCCGAAATTATCGAACTGGATGAATACCTTAAAGGAGAACTCACGTAGCCGATAACGGGTACTTGTAACAAAGCTGACAGGTGTCAGTCACCCGCACTAAAAGGCGGCCAAAACATCGAGAAGAATGATTAAATCTTAACTACCAGAGAAAAACTTCTAGTCTTCAAATGATGATTGGAAAATAGTCCAATAGCGTATTTGCTTTGCATCATTGTTCTCTTTTATTGACGTAAGACAGGAACCAAACAATCGGAAACAGTTTAACTGAAACTTGAAAGCTAAGACTATACATGATGCGACTTATTTCCCTGCTTGAGATTTGCTGAATGTATATAATTCCGTGGTCTGTTGACCGAACCTAACTTATTCCGGAAAAATTTCGCTGTTTCACCATACTCAACTGGAAAAGGTGGAAACGAACTCGTCTTATTTCACGGGGCGAACTCGAAAGATGGTAGGAGGGGAACTTGAAATGATTCCATCGCAAAGTACTACAAAGAAATCTTATTTTGAACCAGATTTTCTGCTCATAAGCTAAGTTTTTACTTTTTTTTTTATGGAAGGGATAGGGAAACGCAGGGAAGTTCTTTTTAACCTAAGTATGAAAATTCCACGGGACTTGTTTCTATTGATTCGATCTGCGTGGGTTAGTTTATTACGCTGTGACAACGCACAATAAACAATGTTTATTATAGACGAGAAATTTGACTGGTTTATTTCGTAAATGAAGTCATTTACGATCACATTAAGTAATCCCTCCCTCCAACTGCGATTAGAACTGAGCACAAAAGACTGATTTCTTCCCAGTGAGGTTTGATTCTAACTTTTGGACCATTGGTAACGTTGATCTTCATCTCCGCACACGGTAATCCATCTTGCGTTCTTTGTTGGCTCAGGGTGTATTCGGTCACGTGACACATTTGGATCAATCAAAATAATTTATGCATTATACGAACTCAGTTTTACTCCATTTATTCATCTTCTTTATGAAGTTTACTGAGCCAGGAAGTTGAAATTTTCATGGACTGACTTCTTCCCAGTGAGACTTCATTCTAATTTTTGGTACATTGGCAATGTTGATCTTCCTTTCCGCACACGGTAATCCAGTTTGCGTCCTTTGTAGGTTCAGGGTGCAGTCGCTTATTTTTTCTGTCAAAAGCGATTTTCACTGGAAGATACTTTGCATTCACAACTCCTTTCCTAAAAAAGAGACCATAAGGGATAACTAAAAAAAAAAAAATGAAAAATCATAATAAAAGGTTTTACCTCTTTTAAAAACTAATTTCTAGTGACTGATTTTTTGAAACCCTAATCGCAGAGACCCCAATCTAAAGCTATTGCTGCTATGGGAAACACGCTGTTTCTTGGAGATGTAAAGTGAAAAAAAAGACACCCGTTATACGGCTGTATTGTGATAAAATCTCTTTTTTGTTTTCTTTGTATGATATTTGTAATACCCATCTAGCTTTTTCTCTATCAAAAAAAAAAACTACTTGATCCTGTGTTTATGAACATGATACTCGATTTAAACTCGTTTGCAATAGCCTTCTTACTTAAAATTACTGGTGGCCCTATTTTACTGAAACGAATTCGACATTGTCATATGTTTTCCTTTGGAGCGTACATTCTCAAATGTTGTCCGATCAAAAGCTTAATAGATGCATGTTTTTACAGCTTATGTCTGACAACAGCTAACAAACATAGACCACTAAAATAAAATTTCCAGAACACTTCGTAGACGGTCGCATTTCACTCGAATCTACCTCTCAAAAATGACCCCCCATCCACTATTTCCATGACATTTTCACCCCTCCATCATGGGTCGTTATCAATTCCCATAATAATTTTTAAGATTTCTCTCCAGAGACAACGGACGGTATGATAGCAGCCAGCATTAATGCTTCCGTCAGATTCCAAACTAAGCCATCGTCTCTAAAGAAGTTTAAAATTAATGCTTGAAGATGAACAAGTTGGTCGCAGTTTTCACAAGCTTTGCAATGTAGTACGATACCTTGAAACGGTGACTTTAAGCAACCGGGATAGTTTCAATTCGTTGCAGTTCCCGAGGGTAAAGTGCTCATATACATTAATCAAATATTTATCAGGTTTCCTGCCGAATCTTCCGTAAACGCCCTGAAACAGAAATTGAACGTGGACATAGAAATTTGAAATAGAGTTAGAGGATAGCCAAGCCAACAAAAACAAGCTAACGAGTGAAAAACAAAAGAGACCGACACACGAGCATGTAAATCAAAATCTATACGAAATAAAACGAAAATAGAAAAGAAGAAACAAAAAGAGGTAGGTTTACGCAAAGAAATGACCAATTCATCGATGGTGTCAAGAGGGTACTTCTCGTTGGAATGTGGCGATGGTTAGAGTGACGTAAAAGGTATTGTATGAAAGATCTATTCAAGAAGCAATACGCCTTCCACATGATCTTGCTTACTATATTTTTACATAAAAAAAAAAAGATTTATATATTTCCCGGCGATCAGAGCATCATAATCGAAGCTTTCTTGACAAATATAAATCATATTATGGCCCGGCTTACGATAGAGTTCTCTTCGGCCCCTCAGTTTAGTAGTCAAGTCGTTTTTAGGAAAATCTGACTTTCGAATTGTTTCAAAGGACTTGGATTTTTTCTTTTCCCATACCTACAATTCAAATTAGCTAAGGATGTGTATCTATTGACTACACTGGAGGGTTGGGACAGAAAAAAATATTCGGCAAGAGGTCACGACGAACGAATCGAGCTCAGCGAGGTTTGTACGTCATGGCAACAAGGCAAGCATTTTCCCAGTTAAACTAGAGAAGCGTCACCGGATTGACGACACTCGGTGCTTTACATAGAAAAAGATTTCTATACTTCCCGGGATCAGAGCACCATTAACGAAGCTTTCTCGACAAATTTGAACCTAGTGCGGTCAGGCTTCCCAAAGAGTTCTCTTCGGTTCGTTTTGGTATAATAAGTACATGTTATCAAAAGTTAAACTTTAACAGCGTTACCGGACTAACGGCACTCGGTGGTCGGTTAATATGAAAGAGAAAATTTCCCAAGCTGTAAGCGATAAGTTTATTATCCTGAAGACAGTGATCCTGAAGAACGTGTGGGTGGGCTCCGATGATCAGATCCGCACCAAGAGACAACAGATGTTTGTTTATGTGATTTTGATAGGGAAGAGGTCGTAAACGGAGGTCTCTACCATAGTGTATGAAAACGACGATAATGTCAACTTTAGCCTATGGAAGTAAAAAAATACGATGAGGAAGAAATGAAATGTAGAGAAATTAAGTTTAGTTTTAAAGTCTCCGTGCGAATGAAATAAGAGTGTGTAGTTCGTAAATCGTGAGTTCTTTTCTCTGTGACTCTCTGAGGGGAACGATCTTAGGTCAGAGGACAGCTGTCGTCCCGCCAGAAGGTGGTACATACGGCCGAAGTCATATATACTCTGACGCTCTAGCTAGAAACAGTTTATACTCTTTAATCTTAATTAATTTCGATATCTGCGCCAGTTGCACTATTTGAATTAATATTTCCTCTTTTTTTTTTTTTGTTAAGGTTTGGTTGTGTCTCTAGACTTTTGTCATGATGATAGGCTTTTCGAAAATCAACGGCAAAACAGAAACTTGGTTCACGTAATAAATCGACTAGATTAGTTACATCAAATTCATGAGATATCAAATCCAGTCGAATTGAAAGTAAACAGAAATGGCAGCAGATCAAGCCATAAAAAAAGAACAATAAACTATGTTTCGGCTGCTACCAACTAATGGAAAGGCCAAATGAAGGGGGTATTGCAAATTTGTTTCGTATGTACATAAAGAGATTTGATCAACTAAGGAAATAAAGCTACATTTAACTGGTAGGTGGTGAAGAACGACTTTGCTCCGGTAAAATTTGCACACCGTCTAAAAATTCATCTTGCTCGTTCTTAATACGTAAAGATGTAGGTCTGGTTGAATACAGCGTCTATCTAGTAACTGAGTGGCGTGGGCTATTCCACGCCAATGATGGATTTTTTTCTGAGCCTTTCATCTTACACGCATAAAAAATGAATTAATTGCATAACTATTGGTAAATAAACAATTTTCTTCCCTTTAGATGAAAATCATAATGCTATTAAAACTTGAGCGTGACCTTCTTTAGCCTCCTGATGTCTCTGGTAGCGATATCATCACGATAAAGGGCTGGACCAGAGTCGAACAACTTTCTCAATTCGCTGCAGTTTTTCTGTGTGTGTGAGGAATTTGTAATGCAATACCCGAGGAATGCTACAGTGACCCTGCCTCTTTTTATAATTAGAGGTTCCTGAAATAAGGCAGTGAAAATAAGTATGAGGCAGTTTTGAAACAGGGTGTTGAAAAAGTTAAAACCAACCTAATCACAGCGACCAATCAATGTAATAAATGATAAATACAAATAATTTGGTTTTTAGGCGGTTAAAGGTAACTGCTGTAGGCAGCGGGGTAAATGCAAGTTTAAAGATCAGTTGCGTTCATTTAAGATAAGAAAATAGGATATCAAATTCGATAGTTGTTATGAAGCAAAAGTCTGACTTTACATCTGCATGCTGGTTTTTTATTATTCTTCTGCTTCGTTCCCTGGAAAATGAGGTTAAAAATTGCTTTGTTACTGTACCTGAAGGGAGTCGTATTTTCCAAAGCTTATTCCAAAATACTTTATACCCGTCTTTTTCAGGACTTCAGCGGTAAAATTGGCCCCTACACCGCCTAAATCGTCCAAGTGATTGTTAGCAATGGTTACGGCATCAAATCCTGCAAACCTGGGTGGAGGATCAGATATTTGGAGGAGGAGGACCAGATATTTGGACCGAGAGGGGCATGGGCAATATGTACGAGTACGCTCGAAGCAGAGCGGTTAAGAATGACGTTTATGGCAAACGGGAAACGGCAAAGATGACCATTTGAACAATTTTTCCCGCCTTTGTTTCTGTGTGCCGTTGTCTCTCTTCCTTTTTCAACTTCAAGAAAATAGGTTTTAAGTCAAAGAAAAACGCACGGATTGAAAAGTGTGTTCTTTTCTGCTGTTGTAAAGCTTTAACAATCGAGTGCTTGGAGGCAAACCTTCTTTACTTCCAGTCCTTGAGGAAAAACAACTGTCTTGTAATGACTTTATCTGGAAATTATCGGAGAATATGAAGAAACTAAAGCACCATGAGCTTATTACTGTTCTTCGTCTTAAAAGCGCTCAGCTGAGTTTCATAAAATCAAAAAAATTTTGTATCACGGTATCTTTCCCTTCTTTTTTCAAATTGTTAGAAACAATAAAAGGTTCTGCATGTTAGATGGCACCATTTTGCAAGCCGAAAGTCGGATACGAAATTGTTCTTTGCAAAGAGATGGTGGTAAGGCGGCAAGGCGCCTAACAAAAGTAGACCAGATTTCCAATTTTTTCCGTGTGCACGCGAAGCTTAAAAGCCACTGACCGTAAATATCGAGAATCCGCCGATAGTTGCAAAATTTCGTAATTCATTTTATTTTTTCTAACAAAAAATGTAGGCGATCTGTTTGAACTGCTGTCAGGCAAGAGGTCGAGGTCAATCTTTCAGCTTGGCCATAAACGTACCATTTTAGCCCGAACTCTACTAAAGCTGGACGCGCCGTTTATGGCGGGCAAAGAAAGAAACTTTGAATAATTAAACTACAAGGGTAAAGCTTTAAGACGATGTATATTTTGATTTATAAATATATCATACTAGACCTTTTTAAAGGCCTTTAAATGGGTCGGGACAGCTATTCAGCAGGTCGCATTGCATTTTCGACAAAATAGCCCAAACTCTTTTAAGCCTGGACGGGCAGCTTATGGCGGGCCAAGATAGAGAATTGAAGGAATCAAAATACAATGATAAAGCTTTAAGATGAAATTTATTATGATTTGTAAGTTTATATGGCAGGTCTCTTCATAGGCCACTGAAGTTTACCTTTACTTTACCTTTGCGAAAAAGATGCGAAGTGGCTTTATTTCAACGGGTACGGGTGACTATTCAGACTTCAACGTAACAACATAACAAGAAATTAACATTTTGCGAGAAATAAAAGGGCCATCTACTAGCACACAGAATTTAAAAGTGGGATTGCATCGCGTTGTAGCATATGAAGTTGCCAAAGTTGCGCAATTTTTCTTTGCTTTACCGGGAGGGTTACCAGGGATTTTTCGGAGAAAAATAAAGGGTGATAGAACTTTTCGATAATTTCCGAAAAAGGGTCATCAAAAGGGTCCTTTAGCAAAGATAAAATGAATTACGAAATTTTGCAGCTGTCCGCGGATTCTCGATATTTATGGTCAGTGGCTCTTATATGAAAGAACTGAAGACTACGAACGGCAAACGTGAAACGTCTAGTGGCCGTTTCCCGTTTGCGGTGAACTACATGCTTAACCCCACGATTAAAACGTCTCATCGCAAACGAATAATATGTTCACACCAGGCCCTCACTCCGTAACTTCGAATTCTTACTAGATGATTCAAGCGATACTAAAATTATATTTCAGTAATAATTAACAAAATCTTCCTTGTCATAAGAGTCTTTTATCGTATTGCTCTATTGTTTTATGTTTTTGAATATTTTAGTTAGATATTGCAGATTTACTCAGAAATTATTCACCAGAATTTACTTGAGGGCGTGTAATTTAAGGGCAAAAATAATGTTTTTGCGATTTTCACCTGAGCGCTGGTGCGGCTTTGGGACTAGCGTGCAGCAAAACCATTTTCTTCCCTTGGTAAACGTGATTAAGAACATGTTTGTTAGCAAATGGCGACTCCAAGTTACCCACTGAAATGTCCGCCTCTCTGATGAATGAAGCCACGTCATTGAAAGTGTCATTGTACGTGTGGTACTTGTGGTCTACGTAGTATTTGATCGGGTCAGCGAAGGAAATATCTCCCACAAACAGTAACGTAACTTCATCTAAAATGTGCAAAGAAGGAAAATATCTTGATATCAGAAGTTATTTAACAATTAAATTTGGTTTGGGGACTTCCGTCGCGTGATTGATCTGCCTTTCCCTGCTATCTTTCCAAAACCTGCCCGTGCTTTCGTACAGTTCATTTCTATTAGGCTGGGCGGTTTACAGAGGTAAACATGTTACTCAAATACTGCCTATTCATTGGTCATAACTCTCATAAATTACTGATGAATTTCACAAAATAATTTACATCTGAAACTCGAACGTTAATGGAGGTACTTCGAAAAGAGATAGCTGTACTGGCTTTCATTTGCGACCAAGGAATGAAAAAAAAACGTATGAAAAGAAATATGCATGCTGATAAACAGCAAGAGAGGTTGTCACGAAAAATCAAACATTCACCGGCAACGGTCAAAAATCGAATTGGCTCATATTCTAGTATTAGGTAGGCCTATAGGTAAAACAAACCAAGACTTCTGTAGTTTGTTGAAAAATTCTTTTGTTTTCGAAAAAATTGACAAAACTCAATTTACGCATAATTAGCGTCATTCGAAGGTCGAATTTGGCCCATTTTTGGAGGCCTCGTTAGTACTTGTAAAAGTAGTGAAAAACTTACTTACCCTTCAGACTTTTAGAACAATGTCTCCCCTATGCTTTCATGACTGAAGTAGAATCACTTTAAATTTGAAATAAATACGGATTTTTCTATCTATTTACCTAAGTGCCGTGTGAAAAGTAGGGTAGCTTAAAAAAACTATTTATATATGTGCTAAGTAAAATAAACGTTTAATATTTGAAATATGAGAAGCAGTGTTGGAAATCCCAGTACAGCAACACTAGTCACTCGCGTAGTTTTATTTTTCTATCTTTATACTAGTCGTCACACGCTTCGTATCGCGTCGATCTTAGCCTATTCTTTTGCAAAACCACAATATCGTAAAGACCACCCTTGGTTTCGCGTTGCGAGGTTACAAGGCTGACGTCACTTTTCCGACAGTAGAAATGATAAACTTACCGTTTGTAGAGTTGTTTCACCAGTGAGTGAAAAAAATGAGCCAAATGCCTTGCTATTTCCTTGTCACACGACAGCAAAGATGCTATTCGCCTAGCCCCTTTTCTATCTTTTGGATTGTAGCCACAATCATCCATAACAGGAGATTCAAATGAACAACAGATTTCCATTCTTCAAAATATTTAAACTCTGTTGTTTACTTGCTGCGCACTAAGTTTCATCAGATGAAATTAACGGTGACGTTACGTTTTATTGCTAATTGCCAACAAGTAGTAACAAGTTAAAAAAGTATGAATTTTAATCTGAACACAAAATTTCCCATTCGTACTAT